TTGTTCTATTTGTCCACTCCCTGTCCTATAAGCTCAGCACCCCTCATACAACCAACTCCTCATTACCAAGTCATGTGGTTTTGTTTGGTATGCAACCCTTGCAAAGCATAGTGGCTTAGGAGGTAGGGCTGTCACCTTTAATCTCCTGACTGGGGTTTCAAATCCTGTCCCAGCTATGAGTGTGAAGTTTACAACATATCTATGTTGTTTGGATATCCTCTGAGCTTTCTGCTTGCTAAAACGTTTATTAAGGCAAACTGATATCTCTGAATAACTTATAGTCTATGTATGTGTCCTGTAATAAACTGACAACCCATCCAGGGTGTTCGGCTGCCTTAGCTCCAAGCTCTCTGTGACCCTGTACTGAAGCAGTAAGAAGATGGATGGATTCACGTGGTCATGTTTGTGCATCTATCAACCTCTGTGCAATCCTCATTTTCTTTACATAACTCTAACTGTGTTTATTGAAGGCCTCCATTTGAAACTAATGTACAACTCTACGAACAACTTAAAAGTCACATGAGAGAATTCAAGAATTGTATTATTTCAGTTTCTACCAAAAACAAAAGCAGTCAATGTCAAAAAGGCAATTAAAGGCTATTGGAGAAGATTATCAAAACCACCAGCTGTTTGCAATGTGAAATAAAATGTTTTATACACTAACTCAAATTTGCCATTTTGTTTTGAGGATCCTACCAACTTTGGACAGCACTTGGCTGATGGGGCACAGGGACAAGAGCTTGAGCTGCCCTCACTATCATTATGATGGCAAGGGCTAGATCTGAGTGTAGAGCATCCCATAAACCACAGAATCATTCTAAGGCCCTGTACTGAGCTTTGTCTAATTATCAACTTGTTTGGACAAAACAAATCAATATCAAATATAAACCACAGCAAAACACTATAGACAAAAGATAAAATGGTTATACTGTCTCCTAGAGGTTGATTGATATTCGTTGTATTTCTTCTATTTCTTGTTGGAAAAGCATAGTTCACACCAGAAGTAAAGCAATCAGCCATCTTGGATTCTGAACTCGGGATCCTCTCTGTGCTACTCTGAGATAATTTCTCGGATCTCCGAGAAACGGGAGCGCGCATGTCATCACTTCCAGCTTCAAAACTGGAATCCAACTCGGAATACGAGTTCCGAGGGCAAATGGAACGCACCAAAACTGCCCGAAATGGGTTGACAGAGACATTTCAGAGATTTTGAGTCATTCTGCGCTGCAAATGGGTTAATTGTGTTAAAAATTTTAATCAGATTAATCATGATGATGGATTAATCCGCGTTAACCCGTTAATTTTGACAGCCCTACTATTATTATTGATTTCCCTTCACCTTTCTATCTCTCAGCACGCTTTTCGGAGGGAAGTTAATGTCGTACTTTTCATGAACAGTGCGAAAATGCCGCTCCATATTTCCCTTCTTCGGAATAGCAATGATAGTCTGACAGATGAGGCAAATGCACTTCGAATATGACATTGTGAAAAACAGTCCTCCTCCCATTGGTGGTAGGTTTTTGGCTTCTTACTTAGTCCAGCTCCCCCATTAATTTTTATACCCCTTCTTAAGTTTAGTAGAAATAAATTGGAGGCTAACTAGGTGACTCGGCTTTCTAGAGTTTTGCAGCAGCTGGCACGGTTGAACGCGTCATCCATCCTTTACCCAGAATACCTTTGCAATCGACCAGTAGATTGCGATCGACCAATAGATCACGATCGACGTATTGGGCACCCGTGGTGTATACCATACAGTATGTATACGTCGGAGTGGATCATGAAAACAATACTGGAACCGGCGAGATAAAAAAAAACGCTTGCATCGACATTTATGCGGTCACGTCGATGCATTGGATCGTTTGCCGTTGAATCGATATATTGATACAAATCGATGCATTGTTACACCCCTATCACCAATCACATTGGATATTGTCCCAAGTGATAGTCCTGGGTTGCTGCACATTCTGACTGATTGAGGACTTCTATCGCACCCACCCAGATCGCCCTGCTCCACACCCTCATACTAGTCTAGCTGAATGTCATTCTAGGGAGTTGGGTAGCCCCTGCAAAGGGAACAATACTTTAGCATCTGCCTCCTGTCAGCAGTCCCTGCAGCCACACTCAGCCAAAGCAAACTCCACCTCACAAGAATATCAGTCATGTCTGGTGTACATTTCTTATTAAAGACCTTCTGTGATGCAAGTCATTTGTCTGATATGGAGCCTACTCATTACTAAAATGACTGCAAATGTCTTTTGATTTCTGAATTCTTTTCTGACCCTGATTCCTGTGCTTGATTCAGATTTGATATCTGTCTGGCTCTAGATTAGTGTTTGAACTTGGCTTGTATTTTGTGCCTAACACCTGGATTACACATTGCTGCTTGTGATTCATTAAACCTGCGTAATCTGTACTTGGATCTCAGAACTCTTTCATAATATCTAATTTGATCAGGAACCATTACATTTGTCCTGCTCATATGGTACTTGTACTTCACATTCACTGGAAGCTCAGCCCAGTCGCACTAATGCCCAGTGAACTTCCGGGTTAGGCTCTGGACCCCCACAACACAAATTAGAACAAACATTTACAGAAAATGGATGGATAATCAGACCTATTAATGAATTAAACCAAGATAATTTAATATAGTTGTAACATTATCGGCGAAATATGCATAGATTAATTCAGCTCTATTCAATACACAGAATCTTATTAATTTGGTCTCTGCTGTTATAAAACGGTATTGATAATACACTAAGGGTAGTTTTATATTTGTGCTTGTTCTGTTCATTCAGCCTAGTTAAACTTTTGTCCCTGGGGAAAGAAATATAAATGAACTGACATATAGGCTAAACAAGACTTTAAACAGAAACACAAAGGATAATAACTGCTAAATTACATTACCATCGAGTGTCTTATATCTATTATCATGCAACCTACCAATCTTTAAACTCCTCATACACATCAGGATCAGCGAAAGACAGATGCTTCTCCAGCTAAGACATGTTGCTGCAGCACAAGCGTAGGCCAAACAATTGAGACCAGTTTCGTCAAAATCGGGTGGCTGGCTTCACAGTGGTGTCATGTGACCATTTAAACAAACATATCTCACAAACTAAAGCAGCACAAAAGAAAATTTCAACGACACAAAGCACCACAAACTATTGAAACCAGTCTGGTCAGAACTGGAGCCAAATGGGGGGGGGCCATACTGATACTGATACTGATATACCGAACAACGTTATATTTCACTCACGCATATACTGCCTTTTCACTCCACAGGGACTGTTTATATGCAATTACTTATGCATATTTCTAATTGCTTGGAGGATCTTTATCATATCGTGATGTCTTTGGTTTTGCACATCTTCTTCATATTACTCGATTTTTACAGTCTACCTAACGTGCCTGTTTTATTAATTGGAATTAAATATTAAATCACGCAATAAATGTCAGGCAGTTCCAGTCATTTTACTTACATGTGGATAACCAAGCTAAAATAAAGTGACTATCCTTTTTAACATGTTCTGTAATTATTTTGTATCTGTACATCTGTAAGGCCTAATTGCCTGTAAAGAATAATTTGGGTTTGGCACAGAAAGATATAAAAACTGGAAAGAGGAAAGCGGCTGAGAGGGGGTGTGAGTCTTTGGGGAGCAGATGAATATCCTGACAGCTCTAGAATTAGACTCAAACACACCTAAAAACAACGGCACTGGGAGAGACATGGTGTGATGCACAGATCAAACAGCTTTTTTCTCTAGTTTTCTCCCATATTAAAATGGGTTTTGCTCCAAAGCCAAACCTTTCACTGTAACTGAATACAGCCGAAGCCCTTGATATGCTAATCTGTAAGAAGAGGTTCACTAAATGCTCTCCACAGTAAACTAAACACAAGTAAACCAAACAAACTAAACTATCTGGGGCATGAAAATGTCATTTGATTATTCAGCATAAGCCACATCAATAAAAACATGTGGCAGATGTGCCAGATGAACCAAGCAGCTGGTTTGAGCTGGTTTGCTGCTTTGGTTCAGTATCCTCACAACAGGAAGCATTAAATACAGATGTCCCCTGTACATGAGACACTAATTATTCCCCATCTCCTTCCTATGTTTGCCAGCCGACAAATATATATGTCTGTGGTAATATTCCTTGCTCTCAGATTGAAAATGAAACATACCAGGAGGCCTGATGAACAACAGTACACTTGTACAGATCAGATTGTAACCTCAGTGTCGTATCTTGCAGACCTTACACAAGATCTCTGCCGCACTAAACATAAATGAAGACTATGGAATCAGGTTAGATTTATTCAGGCCTTATCTTGGTTTATTACACGGCTCTCTGGAATGCTTGATTCTGATTGGTCAGTTGAGACATTTGCAGGTTCGTTCTTTTCAAATAATAACCGCTCCAAAGTAATAACGCATAGCCGGTACTACTTGTATGTTTAAAATCCCTCCGCACCAACAAAGATTACCATTTAAAAATGTTAATTTAAAACAAATATGCCAATAAAATGTTTCAAATTTATATTCATGTCCAGTTTTTTTTCTTATGTGGCAAGTAGCTGTGTAATAAGCGGGATAATGTACAGGCAGCCGGTAGTTATCGCGAAAAAAGCCCCTTCAGTGTGATACAGTACAAGACCCTCCGCTTCGCGTCGGGTCCTGATCACACTGTCGGGGCTTATTTCTGCGATAACTACCGGCTGCCTATAGATTATCCCTTACTTATTCAGGTTGTGGAAATCTTGGGCTACCACATAGAAGAACATTACTCGGGCATTATTCTCATACTAAACTTAAAAAAGCAAAATATGTCAGTAAATTACTGGGTTAAATCATACATTTCCCTAAATGTATAACCTTGTATTATTTTTCAGGAAATTAATATGCGACACAAACATGAAAAATCTGGGTTAGGAAATAAGATTATCGTTTACATAGTTTCCAGCCAATCCCTGCTCACTCTGGGTGGGGTATTTTGAATCTCACCGGTGGTCCCTGGAGCTGCGGATCTTGGAGGAGAATCGCTCCGCCAGCTTCTCCAGGCTACGAGAATACTCCAGCTGGATCTCAGCTTTGCGGCGGAAGAACTCCTGTAGGTCCTGTAGCAGCTGGAGGCGCGACTCTGTCTGCTGCTCCATGCATTTCAGCTGCTCCGTCAACTGACTACGAATCTCTATGGTCAATCAGAAAGATGCAAATGTCATAAAATAGTTTATACTCCAAACAGAAATGCAAATCTGCAATCAAAGCATGGAATATTTATGACTTCACAAATAGTATTTTACTCAGAAAAGGCATATACACAGTATGAACTGATGAGCAAAGACATTACGACAGCCCTCAGGTGACAACGCAGTACCAATTTCAATTCAAATCATGCCTCCTGGGTTTTTAAAAATTATTAAAATTCTTAAATGTGAACTGAATTCAAGCAATTGCCTAACTTTGACACGGACTTCCAAACCAACATCAATATTTTACTGTCTGAACATGATAGGATAGGCAATGAATCAAAAGACCTTCCTGTCCACTGTGAGCGATAACTAGTAAAACTCATTTTACTAGCTATCCTGGTATCAAATGTAGCACCGATTTAGTAGCACGAGTAATTGACCCAGTTCCAAATCATGAACTATTGTCTTTACAAGAACATCCTCTGGAAATAGCTGTAATGTCCCACATTTAGCCAGCCTAAAATGGCTTATCTGGCTCTCCCCCCCTTCGGATAGATACGTTTGACCAGCATGCAGGTAATATCACTGTGGTTACTGATGTGTCAAATTTTGTACCCTGGTATGTGATCACACATCCTGTACTCAAGTTGTTATATAGCCAAAGTAAACAAAAATACAATGTTATGAAACAACACAATACTGTAGAAAATATTTCAGTTATTTAAAATTGACTGTCATTGTCAGTTCTAGGTCAGATGAGTCATCCAATCTGAAAACCAAAAGTAGCAAAATTTTGACATAACTATCCTGCTTATTTTAAATAAGTGTCTGCTAGAGTTTCTGAAGTTTCCACTCTACTGATTCTACAAATCCGGAATAGCAAAAGAGATGTGGAGTGATTTTATCATGTCCTTGGAACAAGCATGTCATAGACTTGTATCCGAGAACTTTTATTTGCTGATTACGGGCTGTATGGTTTACGCACATCTGGTAGTATAAATCCAATGGTCAATGCCCTGCATCCACAGTCTGTGTAGCAGTAAAGCACATATATATATATTGTAACGTTTACTAACGATCATATTAAAACACGGTTGAACAGGCATGACCGAAATTACACATCCAACACGGTAAGAAAACCATGTGCTTCCTACCCGTATCAGCTTGCCCTTCCCCACTCAGCCAGAACATACCAGAACATACCAGAACATACCCCTTATGTCTCCACCACAGACACGTGTTCTTCAAACGACAGTAACATATTAAACTGCATACATATCCCAATAAGAATGCAGGTCTATAAAAGATCTTCAAGTATATATATATAAAACCACAAATACAAATCACAATTGACTGTAATCAACATAGTTTTAACCATAATAGATAACTAACCATCCTATATCAAACTAATAAATTGCACTTGGCTCATACATACTAACAACACCAAAAAAGCTGTTCACATATAAGTCTTACACTGACCTACCGACACAAAGTGCAAGCAAACAAATACAATACACAGTAGGCCTGCATGATGTGTGGTGTTAATATTGACATTACATATTATGCACGTACTGTATAATTTTCACATTGCTGTCAGCTGGATCGGGACCATCAATGTCACACTAAAACATGTTTACCATTAGCAAGCTTTGCAATTTCAGTGATCCATAGAGACAAGACCAAGCAAAAGAAGGAGATCTGTTGGCACAATTCATGACAACACCACCAACTTATCTGATAAAGTCTGTATTTGTAGATAATAACAGGTTCTATTTTTTGATCTTGAAGATCTACTGATGATGGTCGGAAAATAGGCCAGATCATCGAAGATAAGAGCCCTACAGAACATACAAAAGCCCTAGAAAAGTTGTTTGTGTAAGTGCTGTACATTAAAAGATTCTTTTATCCCTTGAGAACAGTGAATTCCATAAATTCTGCAGACTGCTCACAATGTGTTGTTCTTATTTAATCAAACTGTGGACTCAACTACAAACAAAAGAATGCTTCACATTTGAAGCTGACTCTGTGCCAACAGAGCAACCTGCAAGAAACACTGACGCTGACTGGAGGTCTAACCTGAAACGCACACTTTGTACTTCTATCTCTCTAGGATGCCTTACTTTCTTGCAAGAGGTTATAATCACAAACTGTAAATCACAGGACCAGGGCGCTTCTCAGGTAACACATATACATTACATATCACCCAACAGGCCAACACACATGCTGGTTGTACCTTCCTCCTACACACAATGTCCCTAAAAGGGCTGTTTTACAATCCTGTTTCCAAAGAAGTTGGGACGCTGTGTAAAATGAAAAATAAAAACAGAATGCAATGATTTCCATCATAGAACCCGTATTTAACTGAAAATAAAACAAAGATAACATATCAAATGTTGAAAAATGTTATTGTTTTATGACAAATACATGATCGATTTGAATTTGATGTCAGCAACACCTTTCAAAACAGTTGGGGAGGGCAACAATAGACTGAAAACGTTGCGTGATGCTAAAGCAAAACATCTGACTAAATATCTCACAACTAATCAGGTTAACTGGCAACAGGTCAGTAAGATGATTGGGTATAAAAAGAGCCTCCCAGAGAGGAAGAGTCTCTGTGCAGTGAAGATGGGGAGAGGTTCTCCACTCTGTGAAAGGTGAAATAGTACAACAATGTACAACAAAGACTAGTGTTCCTCAATGTAGCGCAAAGAATTTGGGAAATCCATCATCTGCCACACATAATATTATTAAGACTCAGAGAATCTGGAAAAATCTGGGAATCGTTAAGAAATTATTGCTGTCGGTGCCATCATCGATTCTTCTTATCGATCCAGTTCTTTATCGATTCCCTTATCAATTCCTAATCACTGTAAAATAAATAAATATTAATTTATCACTGATTATAATTTTGGGGACAGGTAATTAGACCTGATTAGCTACATATTCATTTTTTAAAAAGTCCTATGCAGTTTTCAGCACCAAAAGCAGCTGTTTTATGCAGTGTGATATGAACAATAAATTAACAATAAATTAAAAATATTTGTTATAACCCTGTCGTAACAAGCACACGGGCACATTACCACAAAACCAGGCCATCTTCTTAACACCTGAACATGTTTAACTTACTAATGCTCCTAAAGTGGACAACAGCCTAGTTTAATGTTACAATCTGCTTTACAATGTACTGACATACAAAACTAATGAAAGCATTTCACTGCCAGTACCTGCCGAAAAGCTTTTTTGCTCTACTGTGGTGAAAGGGTGCAAACCTTTGACCACGACCTTTGTCGCAGCCCGAAGGCACTCGTGCACCCTCTCCTCATTACATTTCGCTGCCTGGAAAGCTAGCGTGGACGGGTTTCTTTTTTCCGGGCCTCAGAGGAGTTATCGCTGCCACCCTGCATGTCATCTTCTAAAATGGATGTAAGCAATGTATACATAATTCGTTTATGTTTCAGAAAATGTGTCTGTAGGTTAAGGCACCGTAGTTAGTAGGGGTATAGAATAGAAATGTGTACATATAGAAACAGTTTTTATTTTGAATCAAGTCTTCTCCAGATATGACAGCTTTCCTCACAATACAATACGATATCGGTTCCTTAAGCCAACGGTTCGATTTTTTTTGATACCTCAGAAAATCCCACGATACGATACGATACGATTCATTTTGATACTGGGGATAGTAGTCGAAATGATGAAATTTCACGCAATCCTTTACATTTCAATGAATTAAAAAAGGCAAATATAATTAGCATTTTATCATATTTTACTGGGAACTGTAAACAAAATCTAGTGTAGTCAAGTACGTCTTCACATATAGAAACAATTTTTATTTTGAATCAAGTCTTCTCCAGATAAATACAAAAGTGTAACAAAAAGTTCACATATATGTCCATAACCGTCATGAGCTCCTATGACCCTCTCATGTGCTACTCTCCTCATTAACTTCGCATGCAATCCCAATTGTTCCCAGCTGTTTCTTATTGTTTCGTCTAGTCCTGTGTATTTAAGTCTACATCAGAGTCTGTCGCCCAGATCTGTCATTGAAGTTTTCCCCATGTTGTGTGCTGTACTTGCAATAACTCCCCCGCCCCCCCGTTTGTTGGATTTCCATTTGCCTGACCCTGATTCCTCGTTCCATGCTCGCTCGCCCTATGCTGGGATTCAATAAAAAACATTGCATGGACAGACATGTAGAATGAGGAAGATCAACATGATTGACTTCTGCAGTGAAACAAGTATGTCAGTATTCTGCTTTGATAGGTTTTTTTTTTTTTTTTAAAGAAAAATTAAATGGTCAACGTGTTCAGGAGATTGTGTGCTCTGAGCATAGCGTCCTATGTCACCTGCCATACTAAACACACGCTCTGAAGGTACGCTAGCTTGTGAGCTACTTATAAATGACCAAGTAAAAATGATCTACCTACCATAAAAATGCAAAACATATATTTATGTATAAAATATTGAGTTTTCTTTAATATTAATTATTATTATTAATTTCCCTTTGGGATGAATAAAGTATTTTTGAATTGAACTGGGATTTTAGTTCCTTCACCTTTCTATTTCTCAGCTCGGTTTTCAGAGGGAAGTTAATGTCATAGTTTCTATGAACAGTCCGAAAATGCCACTCCCTTCTTCGGAATAGCAACGGTAGACTGACAGATGAGGCAAATGCACTTTGAATATGACATGGTGGAAAAAAAACAGTCCTCCTCCCATTCCGTATGGAAGTGGCAAGTTTTTGGCTTCTTACTTGGTCCAGCTCCCCCATTCATTCTTATACCCTTTCTTAAGTTTAGTAGAAATAAATTGGAGGCTAACTAGGCGACTCGGTAGCTTGCAGCAGCTGGCTGAACGCGTCATCCATCCTCTATTTTTTATGCCATACGATCTACACACACTACCTTTGCAATCGACCAGTAGGTCGCGATCGACGTATTGGGCATAGACCATGTATACGTCGGAGTGTATCATGAAAACAATACTGGAACAGGCGAGA